GAAAGAAAAAATGTTGAAATTGAACATCCCGGAAGCTGTAGAGTCTTAAAGTTTTCCCCGAGAATTATCTTGGTATCATTTTCGCGAATTTCACGAACTGTGAATATCTCCGCATATGGATCCATCTCAATAACACCGAAGCTAACTAGAAATAATCCAGGCAGTTTTAGTCATTTTTTTTTCCTTAAATCATCATATTTTTAGGTCCACAAAGCTAATTGGTATGGTGATGTAGCTGTGAAATTGCTAAATATGGATCATGTAGATGAAGAAAAGCAGTTGGAAGCTTTTAAAGTGAGTTCTCCCGGCGTTACTTTGTGAATTTTGGACGAAAACCAAATCATCATCCTTGAAGTAAAAAATGACTAGCTGACAGGCAGTGGTAAAGTGATCCAGGATATATTTGCACTTTCAAACATTTGCACGATTAGCATCTGGCACTTTTCTTCCTAGAATTGTGCTTCGGTAGGGGAATTGCTCTTACTCATCTTTTTGATTTGACGTTTCTTACTGCGCTTTTTGGTTCAGTACTTTTATTGTTGAAGAGGGTCTGCAGGCGCTTTTACTGGAAACATTGCTAAAATGCCGTCTCATTGGGGAATATTCATCAAGAGTCATGGTATCCAAAAATTTTTCATTTCTCTGGGGAGGAACGCTAGGTTCATCATACTTATTTTGTTTTCGATCCTGCTACTTAATTACGAAAATTAGAAAAAAGTGCGAAATTTTTAAAAATTATATCAAATAGTTTTCAAAGGGAGTTTATTCTAAGAATACTTTGCAAGCTTAGTTAAAATGTTTTTTGCAGGCTGAGGTGGCATCGTTCAAGAACACCCGACACGACAATATTGTGCTCTTCATCGGTTATAGCTTCGATCAGCATAAGTTGGGTGTCGTGATGTATTACTGCAAAGGTCGACCGCTGCACCAGTTGCTTCATGATCATCATGAAAAATTCGATTTCACTCAGATTATTTATTTTGCTACTCAGATCTGTCAGGTCTGTTGCTCTGCCGAGTGTTTTTTCGTTCATTTCGCCTAAATTCTTGCAAAATTCTGACCTAGGCACATCTTTGTGCTGTGGAAGTCGCAGAGGACCAGGTAGTGTTGAGGGGACAGCTGTCTACTGCAGGCATTCCGGGAAGGGACAGCTCTCTCTCTCTCTCCCACTAGGATTGAACGCTACGGATTACTATTAGCATGGTCGATAAGTGTTAGGGCAAAATGAAAAAACACGTTATTATTCAGAAAGCGCAGAAACCTCAAAAGTACGCGATCCAACGTGGCACCAAGCACAACATGAAGCACATAAAATGAGCATGTTTTAGTATCTTACACACCTATCAACCCGATCTGAGGAAGCGGATTGGCAGCCAGGAAGTGAGAGACCGCTGGAAATCTTAGGTGAACAAAAGATTTCGCCACAGGAAAAACCTGGACTTTTCAACACACATATACAGCTGCAGATTCAGTGCTTTTGTTGCCTGTTTAAATGCTGTACTTTTTCTTGTTCTCCGGCTTGCGATCGTCCCATTTTTTCAACGCAGTTCTGTGTTGGCATACTTTACGTGGTTGTTGTACGTCAAAAATGACTACATTTTACCAGAAATATGTTTTATTTTTTAATATTTTCTGCTAAAATGGGTGTTTTTTAGGGTGTATCATATTTGCATACAAAAAGGATCATTCACAAAGATCTGCGAACCAAAAATATTTTTGTTGAAAGTCGCAATCGCATTGTAATCACCGATTTTGGCTTATTCAACATGAAACGACTTGGTCAGCCATACAGGTGGTTTTCGTTAATTTTTTAGTCTCCATAAATTTTTCTTCGCTTTTTCAATTAGATTCAATCCTTTATTGTGCAGTAAAAATTTCCAACAAGTCCTCCACTATTTCGCGGATAGGGCTGTTAGATTACAAATTGCTAGTACTTTTTGCCACACCTTAGGCATATATGGAAACGAGATTTTAGCTTTCAAAGTTTCTAGTTAATTAAGTCCTCAGTTGGCGAGCCCCCCACAGCTTATGCCAAAACACAGTGCTCGTTTAGCGGCGTGAAATTGTAATTTTTATGCGTTTTTTGCAGCTATGCAATGCAGAAAACGAATATTGACGAGGGGTTGTCTGTGTGTGTACGTGCGTATGTGTGTATGTGTCTGTATGTTCGTCTGTACCGATTTTTCATCTCGAGACCGGCAAAAGCTACAGGGCTGAAAGTTTGAGGACATAATCTACATGCACGTACGGGCCCCCATTTCCGAAATGGGCAGTCTTACCCGCGTGGTATCCGCGTAAAAGCCCGCCAAATTTTTTTTCGGGTAAGTTGATAACTCGCGAACCAGAAAAGCTAGAAAGCTGAAATTTTATGAGAATGTTCCTTGTCCAAGTAGGTGCTAAGGAACTCAAGCCCAACCCCCGGGCAACCGTGGTGCCCGCGTACGAGCCTGCCAAAATTTTTTAGGGTAAGTTCAAAATTCGGGGATCTGAGAAACTGTAAAGCTGAAATATTAGGGTGATGTTCCCCGTCCAAGTGGGTATTAGTGGGCTCAAACCAAGCCCTCGGGTAAGCGTGGTGCCTAACATACCGGCCCGCCAAAATTTTTTTCGGATAAGTTGATAATTCGAGTACCTGAGACGTTAAAGGAATGTAATTTTAAGAGGATACACCCCGTTTACCTTACTTTCATTCAGCTCTAACCCAATTCTCGGGTATGCTTGGTAAACACGCAAGGGCTCGTAAAAATTTTGTTCCAGTAAGTTGCTAACTCAGGTGCCAGGGAAGCTAGAAAGCTGAAATTTTAAGAGGATGTTTTCTGACAGTTCTGGCGGCCAGCCTTAATTTGTTTAGCTAGAAGCATTTGCCGAAAAAGCCGGTGTCGATAGCAACAAAAACTGCAAAAAACGCATCTTCGCACGGGCAGCCCGTGCGTTGGCCAGTTATGTTAATTTTGTAAGAAGAAGCGTACGGATCTTGTAAATTCTTTCTTTAGCGATATAGTTGGTGTTTTCACTCGTGCACAGTAGTATTAGCCAGCATGTTTGAGCTTTTCCAGGGCTTTGTCATACATCCGTCCAATTTAAACTTGATTCATTAAATTTGTTTCCTTTGCAAAAGTTATTCATAAAGGATTTTCAGGAACTGTACATTGATTGTACCACAATATTGGTTATCGTATCTCGCACCAGAGCTGATCAAGTCGTTATCAGCTGATCTGATTCAGCTGCCTTTTTCCGAAAATAGTGATGTTTATGCATTCGGGTACGTTCTGCATGCATTTCTTACGTGATTCGTGAGCTCATCCTTTAATAAGAGGTTTATGTATCTGAAAAAAATTTGAGTCAGGGCAAGCAGATTTTTATCTTGGAACGTTGTACACTGTCGAGAAGCGAAATCTTTCTGGAATTAAGCGAAATTTCGTCAAAAAAAGCGAAAAACTTGGGTCAAAGAGCACTACATAACTTTCAAAACAAATATTTCCTTCAGGTTGGCCACAGGTCCCAAAAATGCAAAAAAAAAAAAAATGAACAAATGCAAAAATAGGCCGGTCATTTTTTAACTGTAAAATACGAAATAGAAAAAATGCCATTTTGTCAAGACGCGAAAATAGGAATGGCGGTCAGAATCGGAATGGGCGCTCGTTCGAAGTTAGGTTCAGCAGTCAATTCGTGCGTTTGCAAAAAAATTCGCCCATGCACTGTGGTACATAGCTCTCTGTTGCAGAACTGTGTGGTATGAACTGATGACATATCATTTTCCTTTTCAAGATCTCCACCCAGACATAGTCATATGGAGAATTGGCCGTGGCATCAAAATCCCACTTGGTGGCATCGGCGCTGCTCGCGATGTTCAGGTAGAGTTTGGTGTTTCACTATCATTTACTACGTTTTCCGGCGAAAACGTGCGAATTTTTGGGCCGATCGGTTATATTTCCATGCTTAAGATGTTTTTTGAATTCATTTTAAAAAAATTTTCACGTTTTTGCGAAGGAGACCAAATAAATAGCAACGCGTACTAGAATAGCCGGCGTTGTCATGCGTTCTGTGCAATTCCGTCCACCGGACGATTGCCTGTGAATGATTTTCACTGCTTTGTATTTTGGCCTTTGCAAAAATAGTTGAAAATGTTAAAAAATAGTTAAAAAATTCACACGCCGGTACGTGAAAGCTGAATTTGAAACCTCAAAGGGTTTCATATATCCTTCCAAAATTTCAATTCCCTAATTTCCAGACTTTCGAACGATCTTTGAGACAAAATTTTCACCTGGTCGTACTTGAAATCTTGGTATACTTAAGAACTAAATTCGAGTTTGTTAAACCCCTGCATAGGCAGGAACATTCTGAAAATTTCAACCTCCTAATTCTTTTGGCTTCCAAGATAATGATTTCTGTCACCAAAACTTCCCATGGGGACGTCGGAAACTTGCTGAGTTGTACGTGGGCAGGGGATGCCGCGCTAAAATTTCAGCTTCCTAGCTTTTGCATTTCGCGGGACAATTTCCTTGCCAAAACTTTCACGGAGCCGTACGTGTTACTCAAGCGCACCCTTGGGAAGGTCGAGTCCGAACTTGCGGCGATCTACGTTGGTAGGCGAAATCGCCCTAAAATTTCACACTCCCAACTTTCGTACTTGCAAAATAATAATTTTTCCCGCCGAAACTTTCATGGGGCCGTAAATAAAACTTGGGCACGCGGAAAGGCTGAATTTAAATTTGCGGAAATTTAAATTCCTAGCTTCTGTGGTTCCTCAGTTAAAAGTTGTGGACAAGTTTCTGCGGACGAACACGCACACACACACACACACACAGGCAACTCGGTGACAATAAGCGTCTTGTGCAACTGTTGTACAGCACAAAACGCTTAAAAATTAGATGGTGTTAAAAAAAATTCCAATTGATAGTCATTTCGATGACATGCAGAGTATTACCGCAATTCTGTGTAAATGCGACCGATGTTAAGTGGGAGGCATAAAGGTTAGAATGGCACAGTTAAACAGATGCGTCGTAGTAAATGGCGTCTCTTTATTTTTTTTATCTTTTGTTTCCGAAAAGCAGTAATTATGAAAAAGTTTCGCCGGCCGTTTAAATGCGTTTTTCAAAAACCTGACTCATTTCATTAAAATTTTTGATATATCTAATTATTAGAGCGCTTTCTAAAATGATTTTAGGAAATATTGGTCCGGTGTTGGAGTTACGTCGCCAAAGAAAGACCAACATTCCGGGATATATCAGGAATGTTGGAAAGGCTACCAAAGAAACGTCTTGCACGTAGTCCATCATATCCTGTCTCACGTAGCTATGAATCTATGTTTTAAATTTCGCAGAATTGTAATTGCTCGTTTGTGCGTTGTGCAGGCTTTTGTTTCTAATCGATTCTCTGGTGTTAGCTGTGCTTTCTTCACCCAGTCACTTTACCGCCGGTTTGCTTGAGCAACGAGATGGAGCTTCGTTATAACGTCTGTCTTGCGTTCCACAGTTTTTTTCCCCGCAAAAATTAATATTTGGGAAAAGATGCAACAGAAATAAAAGTTCAAAATTTTCACTTAGCTTTTGGCCAGGGATTGCGATCTATATGCGCTGTTTGATCCATAAAACTGGCAATTGAAAGGGATAAACCACGTTTATTTTCCATTTTTGTAACAGTCTTAATGCTAAAACACATTATACTTGGGCCAAAGTTCTCAGTGCCGATAAATCCTCCAGTCAACATTTTTTTTCAATAATTGGCGCTTCGTTGAAAAAATTTTGCCGAAAATTGTTCATATGGCGGGAGGTATGCAAAACTTATGGGCAACAAAAAGTGATAATGTCGGATGGTTTCCACTTGATTTTTTTTTGCCAAAAGTGATCATGTCGCTGAACGTTTTCCATTTTAGTAGAAGTTATTTGCAGTATGTCCCCGTCTCAGAAGGTATGTCCCCTTCTTGCGGTACATCCTGTGGTTACTTTTTATCTCCGCAGTGAGCGGTATTGTTCAGTTTGTGGTGGTAGGCTAGTC